GTACTTATGTTTGATCATCCATAGACATTTTAACATTTCTGATAGTAATATACCCAGCATTGGAGATAATTAATGAAACAGTACAAAAAACAAATACTAGGGGAATACTACCCTCTCTATCATGCGAAAATGAACTGAAAGGGAATATAGTCATGTGATGATACTTTACACTGCAACTGATTGTCACAAAGTGCTGCATCAGTGTGAAGTCTATAGAAGTACAGCCAATCATAATGTGCTCAATAGAAGTAGAAGTCATCATTGCCACGGCTGAAATACCACATGACAAACATGTACAAATGAGAGCTTTAGATGTTAATGATACTCTTGTGGCAAGACTCTGAGGAGGTTATTTGAAAGTAATACTGTTAATAATAGATGTTAAGTACTTCAAAGTGTACAGACAAACAGTCAAGTACACATTAGTATGACATGGTCTCAATGTACATGAAGCTGCTTGAAAAGTGCTGCCCAGAAAAGGTGATCAAACCAAAATGTTGAAATTGGCATCAGACTACAATCAATAGAATGAGCAAATCTGGAGATATGCTTTTTTACAGATGAATCAAAGCTCAAATTATTCACCAACAATCAATATCAGTTTGTCCGACAACAGATGGGAGAGAAACATTATTGTTAATGTATAACATCTCCAGTGAAGCATGGTAAGGGATGAGCACAAAGTTTGGGGCTCTATCTCAGCCCACTCCGTCAGTAATCTACATAAGACTGATGAAAAGTACAGACAGATTCTGATTTATGGTAAAATGTATGACAGTATGGAAACAAGATATAATGCTTTGTGTAAAACAAAGAGCCTGGAGAAAATACTAGTGTAACATATAACTCATATGCTTTTCTTTTGTATTTTCTGTGATAATGTTCCCTACCATTAATAAATTCATCAACTAGTTGTCATTACTCAACAGGTAGTAATTTCTGATGTGTATTGCTTGTGTTTCAAAAATTATTTCCACTTCTTTATATACATATCACTATAAGAAATCCAAAAAAGAAAAAAAAAAAAACACTTCAGTAAACTCGTTATTTAGTTTATGTAGTGCATATTC